CCCTGGGCCTCAGTTTCCCAGGTGCAAATGGAGGAGCCCACCATCCCTCAGGAGTCACCAGAACCAAGTGACCCTAAGCCAGAACCCACGGGCACACACTGGTGCACTGCACGGAGGCCGTGGGGCAGGGCGGGCYTCAGCGCGGGCAGCTTCTTTGCGAGGCCGTCAGGAGTGTCAGGCTGTGAGCCCCTGGGGAGGCTCCCGGGGCCAACCCACAGCTCCCCAGGCCCCCACGCCCACCAGGCGCCCCAGCCCACTGCCCGCAGCAGAGGCCACACCAGGCCCCCCGCCCGGCAGTCCTGCAGGGAAACCGCGTGGCTTGCGGGCCATGATCACAAGCTGGGCACCATCCTCAGGGAGGGCCCTGTCCCTGGGCCACCCAACCCAGCAGGGGACCAAGGCATGCCACACTGCCAAGTCCCACCTTCCTCCCTTGTCACCCASAGTGCCTCCCAGCCAGCAGCAAGGGCCCCCGGAAGGGAGACCTCAACAGTAGCCTCAACCACTGAGAAACAGCTCTCCTCGGAGCTTGTCAGGGCTCCTGCCTCACCGCCCAGGGACTGTCACCAGGGTATCCACGCACTGACACTGACACAGGGATCCCGGCCTGCTGGGTGCTGGTCTCTGCACTCTCCATGACGACCCCAATTACTCCCACAGCCACMCCAGAGCTCAGGACAACTGACCCACAGCATCCATGTGGGGCAGGAGTGATGGACACTGAATCAGAGAGGGTTAGCGCCTCCCCAGCATCACGCAGCTGATCAGTAAGGAGTGGGATTTGAATCTAGCTCTAGCTGGCTCCCCAGGCCATGTCTGACCTCTGCATCAGCACACACTGGACCTGGACAGGAATTTGGGCACATTTCCCAAGCTGTCCCACCCCCTACCCCCGTCTTCTCCTCTCCGACACCACCCTCCCATCAGGCCCGGCCCAGGGCTCAGCCCAAGGGTCCCTGCCTCTGCCCCACAGCTCCGTCTGGCCCCGTGACGCAACGCCCTGGCCCGCCTTGCAGTTCAACTGTGCTGAAGGTACCGTGGGCGGGCCATCTGCTTCCTCCAGCACCACCGCCGGCCTCCGCCAGGTCACGGGGCAAATGTGCAGGGACCCTAGAGCAACAGTCACTTTATTTCTGGGCTTGGGACCTCTAACTGGCCCGGATTGCTCAACGCCTCGCTGGGAGAGGGTCAGAGAGACCYCCGCAGGTGCCCGGGAGGAGCGGGCACATCCGGGCTGCGGCACCACTGTGATTTCTCTCCCCAGAAGCTGGTCAAGGAAAGAGCCCGGGCCCTGCCTCGGGTGCTGCTCTGGGTTCAGTGCCCAGGCTTCCTTCCAGCCCCCTGGCCTTTGTTCAGAGAGGGTRAGGCTGGTGGAGGGGCTGCACAGCAGGTCCTCTTGCAACCTGCGGCCTGATGCACTGGGAGCTGGGCTCGCTGCCTCAGGACAACCGTGGGCCTGCGTCCTCCCGCCCACGGCCATCCTGACCCTCCACTGCATGCACTAGGGAGCCCCAGGGCCACCGTGCCCCGGCCTCATCCCTCTTGCCCTCGCTGCCTCCACCCCGCAGGTGACCAGCCTCTCCAGAAGGGAGAGGAGGGAACACTCAGAGCTGCGGGCTCCTCTCTGAAGGACCAAAGGAGCAGAGACCCCAGCGATTCCTGCCCAGGCTGCGTGGCTTTGCTTCCTCCTGGACCCTCTCTCCTTCCCAGTCGGGGCAGAAGCTGGGCACCAGGCACCTGCTGCTCCCCCTCGGCCGCACTCCCCCTGACCGCTCGCCCAGCACCCTCCCCTGYGAGCCGGGTCCAGGCCCCTTGTCGGGTCAGAGGCTGGCCTCCCACAGCAGGACAGTGGAGGGTCGCCAGCGCCATGTCCTGGTACGCACCGTGTCCTAGTTACCCTAGTTACCAGGAGCTGCTCGATTACAGGACCACTTCAGCGATGCACGAGACCCTTTATCCAAGGAAACAGCTGCAGGCGTCAAGGACGGCTGGATGCATCTCCACAAATCCGTGAATAACCCCTCAATTGCTTAATACAATAAAGACTATTATTTGGATTCATAATGGTGACCACTATTGAATGATAAATGGCTCAATGACACAAGGGCGGAGGCCAAGCACTTGATTGACACTTGCCAGGGCCAGACCCTCTCCAGGCCCTTCCCACCTGGGAAGTCTTGGTTCCTCACAGTGACATTATCACCCCCCACACACGAGGAGACGGAGGGACAGAAGGTGCAGGTGTGTTCTCAGGGACCCACAGCTCACGAGCTCTGCTGGGGACACGGCCTGGGCTGTCCCGTCACCCCACCTGCCATCATGGCCCACACGATGCAGCAGGGGCCGCCCACCCCTTCCCACCCCAGGGGGTGCTGGCCAGTGCCTGCCCCCACGCCGAGGGCTGCCTGGCCCCGAGCTCACTTGTGCACGTGGCCAGCTGGAAGCATCAGGAAATTGGCGCCTGGGAGCGGCCTGGCCCACCGTGGCCCTGGATGGAGGAGGCGAGTGGCTGTCTCGGCCCATGGCCCCTGGGCTGGCACCTCACTCCGCAGGGTCCCCAGCAGGATCCTCTTCAGCAGCCACACAGCCTGTCCCCTCCATAGTCTCCTGAGGGCACCTCCCACCCTGACTGTCGGCACTGGGGCTCTGGGGTCCCTCTGATTCTGCTTCCTGGGGACTCAAACGAGAACAGCCCCACTGGTGACCTGCTGTCGCCAAGCACCGTCCTAACTGCCGGAGGCACCACCTCGTCCCCATGACACGCCTGGGGGAACCAGGTGCAAGAGCCCAGGCTCTTCACTGCCACGTGGGTGGAGCAGGACACTGGCCCAGGCATGCCACGCCCTCAGTCCGCTCTCACCCAGAACCTGGGGAGCTAGGGCACTGGGGTTGGGGACACACGGCCAGCTGTGCCCCAGGAATGATGGGCTGAGGGAGGAAAGGGAACTGACAACCCCTTGCAGGGCTCCGCCAAGGCTGCCCAGTGACCCGAGGCCTTGGCCCCGGGGACAGGGGCTTCCAAGGCAGAGGCTCCGCCTGGCTCTGGCCCCCAGCCCTCTGGGGAAGAGGCTGCCTCTGCAGAGGCAAGAGCCCCCCTCACACCCAAGGGTGCAGAGGAGACCTGGAGCGAGGACAGGCGCAGGCTTGGAAAGGAGCCGGGAGGCCAGGGAGCTTTAGTTCGAGACACCTAAGGCCAGCGGAGGAGCCGCGGAGGAGAGGCCCCCTGGACCCTGGACGGACAGACGGCCCAGGCACCACCTGCAAGGAAGCCCGACTCTGTCCCAGCCACAGGCCCCTMTACTCCCAGGACCCACGAGGCCCTCTGCTGCTGGGTCCTCCCCGCCAAACCCCAGCAGAGCAGAGCCGAGCAGAGCAAGCCAAGGCCACSGCGTCTCCCAGCTCTGACCTGCAAAATCCAGGTTGGGTTCTTAGGCCAAATGCTTGTGGGCAGTTTGTCACAAAAGAAGAGGTGACTGGAGCCATCCCCACCCCTGGCAGACCTGTCCACGCTGAAAGGCAGCCCAGAGGGAACAGGAAAGATGATGCTCACGTTGCCCCAGACTCCTGAGATGCCCAGGTTGGACTGGAGAAGCCAGCCCGGGGCCACACTGTCCCTGCACCCCCAGGCACAGCACAGCAGCAGACCAGGCGCATTGGAGAGTGACCTCAAGCACCAGGCCACCTGACAGTGCGCCATCCAAGAGGAACACCAAGCTCACCTGCACCCCACAGGCAGTCAGGTCTCCCACCGAGACCTGGCCTGGCCCCTCAGCCCGCTGAGACCTGGCCTCGCCCCTCAGCCCGCTGAGCTGTTACAACTCCAGCCATTGAGTATGGATCATGCTTTAGGATGAACTTCTAAACACGTCTGAGCAATTTAATGGCAAAACTTTCTCTTCTGCAAAGTCTGGCTGGCTGCCTGCGCTGCCTCTCCACACAGAGGGAGTTTCCTGTGGGAGCAGCGGGCTCCTGCCAACCCCTGCCCAAGGTCTTGCCAGGATTCCCAGGGCCTGCTGGTCCTGTGGATGGTCATCCTAGGTCTGTCGCCTTCAGCCACCTGGGCATTGCAAGGGGAAACAGAAGTTCTGCACCCAAGTGGCCCGTGCAGGGGGAACCAAGGAGCAGCCACACAGGCTGGCGACCTGTGTGCTCCCCTGGGGCCCAGCAGAGGGTCCACAGCCGAGACCCCARTACCATTCCCCAGCACCCCAGTTCTTGCCAAAGCATCCTACAAAGAAGAGCATGCCCAGCCCCTCCCTCCAAGACCGCTGTGTGGAATCGAGGCATGGGCCCTGGGGAGCGAGGACCACACCAGCCATCCCCCTGGACCCTGAACCCACGACAGGCAGCTTGCTCAGCCTCCCCCCACCCCCAGCCCTGAACCCACAGGACAGTTTGCTGGGACCAAACTCCTGGGTCCGCGTGCAGGAAAGGACGTGACTCACTGAAAAGATGCCCAAGAAGGCTGGTGGTGGCCAGCTGCCATCCTCCTGGGTGTTACTGACCCTCAGCTCAGGGGTGGCAGCCTCCCCCACTGGGCTGTCCTCCAGGACACAAGTGGTCAGGGCCAGCCAAGACCTGGGCCTCAGTTTCCTCATCTGTAAGCTGAGGAGATAGGCCCAGTCTGGCGGGACCCACACGAGAGCAGAGAGAATCCATGTCCCCTGCAGCGGGACACCCCACCAGGGCCGGCCGGCACCTGGGCCCATCTCCAGGGGTGAGTCTGATGCCAGGTTGCTCGATGGGAATGACCAGAATCCATCTCCATGGTGGCCAGCCTGGGTCCTTCATGTCCCACTGTACCCCAGGGCCCAGCAGTGACCCACGGTGGCCAACCCAACAAGGAGAGCCCTCTGCCAAATCATTTCCTTCAAATCAAGGTCTAGTATTGTTTTAAGATTCCCCCTTTAAAGAGCCTAGAAACCTGGTGAAAACCATAAAATATTCGATGACAAAAGGGAAGGACACACCAGCTTTCTAGAAGAGCCTTTATTTGAATAGTAAGATCCATACACTTTTCCAATGGATACAAAAATAAATATTCACTCAGCACGTTCAGGAAGGGGCTCCGAGTCCCTGAGCTGCAGGTCAGAGTCCCTGGTGACCTTACAACACCTAAGCAAACGGGTCCAATGGCCTGAAGACTACAATGCTCCCTGTGTTGCCCAAATGAAAAAGCCACCACCACGGGCACTTTCCAATGTCCCCAAGTGTATTCACATGCCACCAAAGGCCCTGTGGCCGCTAGGCCTTACCCCTGCATCCCCTCTGCACCAGTGGCAATGAGAAGCACCTGGCACTCCTGGCCCCTCAGATGCCAGAGGCCTCCAGGTGGGCTGCACCCAGCTCCCAAGGACCGACAGGTCAGGCCATCTCTGAGGTCCTGGGCACACCTGCTGGGGAGCCAGGTGGGGTGTCAGGAGAGGGACGAGGTCAGCATGCAGTCAGCCCCTGCCTGTGCTGGCTCACTCCAGCAGGACGCAGGCCCGGGCGGGGTCCCCAATCTCCTGGACTCACCTTGGCCAGCGCAGGTATAATACAGGGGGACAGATGGACAAGAGGAACCCCGATTTAACAAAACAGCAAAATTTTAGGAAACACATTCAAGTACTTTTTAATCAAGCAGATTTCAAAAGCAATTTCAAAGTGGTTTGGAAAGACATCAGATCTCAAAAGATGACCAGGCCGAGCCCCGGCCTCTAAGCCAGCACTGAGGCTCCTGCGGCTGGCTTCTAAGCGGCCTCTCAATTCTGACCAACTTGGCACAGGAAATGCATCCTATTTGCTAGTAAGTAGGGTCCATTCTCCTAGCGCCAGCACAAGGTCATCTGTTGGCCACTGCCACACAGCTCTGCTGGAGAGGGGCGCTGGGGTGCAGACTGGGGCCGACTGGGGCACCTGCGCACCTGCACTCCCAGGTGCACCCTACCCCYTTTCACGGGCCACAGTGGCCCCCTCCCCAGAGGGAAGATGGCTCTACTAAATATTGTGAAATCTTACTAAAGAGCTCAGAAGCAAAATGCCACTGTGTGTGGAATCAGGCATCTGAAGTCACAACTCTGCATCCTAACGGGACAGAAAGAGCCTCCTCCTCGCCAGCCGACCCTCAGCTCAGGCATGTCAGGCAGAGCAGCGCGTGCGCAGGGCTGGCGAGTCTTTGCAGACATCCATTAACCCAAAACGCAAAAGAATCGTAGCGATTACTGAATATTAAAGAAAAATGCAGAAAATTACATTTTTTAATCAAAAGCCACGTTACAGCAGCCAGACCTTCCTGGGCTCCTGTCGCTTTCGTCTTGGCCCAACTCTGGCCCAACGTGCACACCTCGGAGGCACCCACACAGGTCCGGGACGCCGACGGCACCTGAGGGCCCACAGCCCTTGTCACAGTCCCCAGAGGCACCAGTGCAAGCATGTGGGGGCCCAGGAGGACGCTGCTTAGACGGTGATCTGCTGGTTTTCTCGGAAAAAKGGTCTCTGGTGTGAGGCACAGACATCGGGAAACATCCGGAAGGCCTGGTCGGGCGGGGGCTCCTCGGGGGCCTGCAGCAGGGAGCCCGCACCGCAGCTCTTCCCCACCTCCTCCATCAGCTGCCGCACGTACAGCTGCTCGATCTAGAGGGTCAGAGACGGGTGGGAAGAGCGGGGCCTGCACCTACCGCAGTCTGAACCCATCACTGCAGAACCCCACCTGAGCCCCACAGGCGTGGACCGAGCAGGTGGCGCTCAGCAGCCTGGTGCACGCTGCCCACACTGGCCCGAGCCAGTGCCCAGCACTCCACTCAGCTCCGCCCCTTTGACCAGGCCGGATGAGACCTACAAAGTCCTGACCCGCCACTCGGACCACCAGGAAACCAACAGGTGCAAACTTTCTGAACAGGCTTTGGTTTTTACAAAACCAACCAAATAGGACAGAAAGAAACACACACTCCCAGACCTGAGAAGAGGCTCAGAGGTGGCAAGACTCCCCACACGGGCCTGCCTCTGCACCAGGAGGCCTGGGCACGAGGCCAGGGGTAACCCTCTTACCTGCACAAGAATGAGCTTGGAGCGCAGGGGAGCCATGTCTGGAAACTCCTCCCCGAAGCACAGCACCACCCTGCTCTCCGGGAGGCGGCTCTGGCTGCTGTAGAACTGCTGCAGCTCTGAGGGGGGAGGGGCTGGTGAGGCAGGCCCTACGCTCCTCCTGCCTGCCTCCCCCCCCCCCAAAGAGGGACCCAGCCACTCCCCGTGCTGATGGTCTCCAACACCTGGGCTCCAATGCCAGTGCAGAGAGGGCTCACTGCACACTGCGCCCCCCTCTCTAGACACCCGGAGGGTTCCCGTTCCTCCCTAGCCCTGTGGGGCCTAAGTGGACAACCTCCACCTGAGGACACCCAGGGGCTCTGTGGTCCGCCTGGTGGCCCTCAGTCAGCCCAAAGGCCCTGAAGGCACAGGTGTCACCCAAGTGCTTAGCACATCTATAAACACGCAAACACGCACCCGCCTCCCCAGGGACCTCGCCAGGACGCAGGTGCTGGGCCGGGAGACGGTCTGTGGGCAACCGCAAAATGGAGTGTCCCAGAGGAAGGGGCTGACCCACCCCTGCTCTGCCCCGGGGATGCTGGGGCCCAGACAGGTCCCAGATGCTTAGGGGAAGGCACACAGGTGGTGCACCACCTGCCCGGGGACCCTCCCCCCTGCAGTGGGCCATGGGAAGGAGGCAGGTCCCCGAGGCGGGGTGGCAGAGGGACTGGGCACAGACCTCKGAAGAACTGGCTGGTGTCGAAGACCTGGACCACGGCCTCGCGCTCCAGCTTGTTGGGCCGGCCCTTGCTCACCACGGCGTTGCCGCTGCAGAACACGCGGCCCTGGCACAGCCGCCTGGCGAACACGCCCTGCCGGCTGCTGTGCAGCAGCACRCCTCGCTCCAGGTGCCCGAACAGCTTGCGCGTCACCTGCCTCTGCCGCTCGCTGGGGATGGTGTCGGCGGGCGGGAAGCACACCAGCTGCAGGCCCTCGGGGCCCAAGGCCTTGGGGCCCGGCTGGCTCAGGGCCAGGCGGCAGCCCTCGGGGCAGGTGGTGGTGGTCTGGCCCACCAGCTTGCCGCCGTAGTAGAAGCTGATCACCATCTGGGAGAAGGCTGTGAGGACGGGCCGTCAGGCCGCTGTGCGAGACCCCCGACCTGGGAAGGCCCCACACCCTCCACAAGTGACATTTCCATGAGCATAAGCGAAGGCGTGGGACACCAAGGAGCAACAACTGCCACAGCAAGACCCCCCAGCGAGGCCAGAGCGGCGCGTGGGGCGGGCGTGGACGGGGCATGGTGTGGTGCCTGGTGCGGGGCCTGCCCGCCGGCACCCGTCAGCTCGGGGGCAGTGCTGCCTCTGGAGCTGCTGCCCGGGCCTGAGGCAGACATGAAGTCAGGACTCAGGGACGTCACCTGTGTCCCACAGGTCACAGCCCCCGGGGGATCTCTGGACTCAGACGGAGAGCCCCCGCAGAACCCCTCACCAGGCCTGTCCTCAGGAGGACCTGGAACCTGAGGTGGCCGACTTCTGGGGGCTCTGGAATCCGCAGCCCGAGGCGCGGAGCTGCTCTGGCCCCACCCCTCTACCTGATGTTGGAGAACCGAGGCCCAGATAGGCTCGCCCAGCAGGGAGCGGCAGTACCAGCCCCTGGACCCCTCCAGCCTCCCCCTGGCCAGGTGTCCAACGCCTTTGCCACCCGACAGCTCAGCACGCTCCATCCCCTTCCCCCTGGAACAATTTCTGAACATGGCTCCAAATGAAAGAGTGCCAAAGCGACTGTCACCATGGTGGCACTTTGCCCTGTCATCTCCGGGGCCTCATCTCGGGGTCAGGGCCTCAGCTGGGTGAATGGGCAGCTGCACTAGGATCAGCAGCATGCCCCAAGGCACCCAGGCAGGACGGCTCTGTCCAACAGGAGGCCCACAGGGACCCATGGAGGAGCCGCTCTTGCTGGGGAGGCCAGGGGGGACAGCTAGGGCACCGCCCACCACCGAGCACCCCCAGGGCCTGGGCTCCCCTCGGCCAGTCTCTCCCTCGCCAACGTCCTTCCCAGTCCTACAAGGTGGGAACCGGGCACCCCTCAGCTGAGCTGCAGAGAGGGCTGTGTGAACCCAGCGGCTGGAGCATGAGGAGGCCCTTGGCGCGCGGCCAGCCGTGTGTGTCCCCCTGCTGGGAGCCAGCAGCCTCACCCCTCATTCAGAGGCTACAGCTCTGACCCTGCTGTCCAGAGGCACGGGTCAGCAGCCCCCCAGACCACGGCCCAGCGCCAGGCAGGACACAGCTCAGCCTGGAGAGCTGGAACCTCTCGTGAGCACAGCACTGCCCACGTAGGAGGCCTCGAGCCAGGCCAGCCAGACGCTGCATGAGCCTGAGGCCAGCGTCCCTCTGTGAAGCCGGGTCACAAGCCCCAGTGCCCACGGGCAGCACAGGCACAAGCTCGGCGCCCAGCGGTGCCACTTCCTGGCAATTCCAGCTGAGCCCCCGCCTCTGCCACCAGGAAGGCCTGGGCACACTCCTCTTCAGTCCCCAGACTGGTGCTCTGGGCCCCCTGAAGGCCAGGCATTGGCTTCCCCCAGAGCTGTCCTCTGCTGCCCAGGAGGTGCAGTCTGTGAGCCTCAGTTCCCAGGGCCGCTCGGTCCAGGTACCGGACAGGCGGGGGGCCGCCAGGGACGGGACAGCCGGGCACACCCCTGATCTACCTGGGGGCCGCACGCAGCCTGGGCCCTGAGCCTGGGAGATGGGAAATAACTGCACCCACCCAGCGGCGGTGGGAGAAGGAAGGTAGGAGACCGGAGCCTCAGGCTGACCCCACTGCCCGGCAGTGGTCAGTGAACACGCCACCAGGGTCACTGTGGTCACCGTGGTCACCACGGTAACCGTTTCTCCTCTCGCTATGAACATGAGTGTGGGGAAAGGACAAGGCGGCGGCAGTGGCGGTGGCACCACCACCAGGCAGTCTCCACCAGAGTCCCAGAAACAGAGCGGCAGGGTCCCAGCCCCAGCCCCCAGGGTCACAAAGCCTGTGTCCCAGCAGTGCCCACGCCCCACCCCCAGAACACCCCCTACCTGAGTGGTGCGCTTCATAGGCGGTGTACCCGGGCACCAGCGGCAAGCCTGCAGGACACAGGGGCGTCAGGCGGGAGGCCACGTGCAGCAGCCCAGGGGCCCTGCCTAGGCTCCTGCGGCACGTGGTTCCCCTCCAGAGCAGGAGTCCCTGCCTCCAAAGTGCAGAACCAGACCTCGGCCAAGCCAGAGCGCGGGGACTTCCTCTGCCACATCAGTGCCCTGCAGGGCCACGTTGCCTTCCCACCTGGGGGCTGGGCCCGGCAAGTCACTGGACTGCATGCCACCCCCCAGCGCCTCTCAAAGGCGTCCCTGCCACACAGGGGTCTTTCCCAGCCCCAGGCAACACTGCCAGCCACAGCCTGGGGACCTCCAGGCCTGCCAGGCCACCACCCACTTCTGGTCTGCTGCTGGTCACGGCAGGGAAGAGGGAGGAGGAAGGCAAGGTGCTCGGGGCGAAAGGCCAGAGCCCAGGCAGCCAAGCAGCACCCGGCACTTCCGCCTGTCGCCAGAGCCAGCGGGAGCAAGAGGCCTCCTGACCCCCGGGACCCCAGGGCAGGTCCTGCCGTCTCCATCTCATTGTCCATCCAGCGCCCACTGGGGGCGCCCACTGGGGGCTCCCCGAGTGGCCCTCCCCTGCCGTCTGGGCTGTCTTCAGTTCTGCAGGGACCCTTCCTGTCCCCCGGGAGCAGCACAGCCAGGAGAGCCCAGGAGGGGCCCGGTGGGCCGAGAGCCTGGTCCTCCCTCCAGCGTCAGGACATTCCCAGACCCCCTCCTGCTGCCCCCTGGAAGCGTGCAGGACAGCAGCCATGGTCGTGGGACATGGAATGGGACGGCTGGGGGCTGAGGGCACGGCTGGGCTCTGCCCTGGTGGCTGGAGCCAAGCCATGCTCTCCACCTCTCAGCTCAGGCACCATGACGGGTCACAGCGGTACCAAGCGCCCAGCTCCTTGCCCAGCTGGTGCGAGGCTGACCACAAGAACACGGGCACTTGGGTGGCCAGCAGTGCCCGCTCCGTCCTCACCTGTGCTGGGCTGCTGCACCCACCAGTCCGGGAGGAGCTGGCTCCGGCAGGCCTCCGGCGGGGAGGGGCTCCGCTTGATCATCCCCAGGTAATCGTCCACGGGAGGCTGCGGTCAGGTGAGAGGGGACAGCGGCTCACTCACTGAGCCTCCAGCATGGGGCTCCACTGCTCTGAAATGAACAGCTCAAGCACCACAAAAGCCACGCTGTCACCTTCACCTCGTGAGCTAAAAGTTAACCTTACTTTGCAGCTGGAAAGACCTGGCCTGTGACCCACCAAGGTGGCAGCTAAACCAGGGGCCAAGTCCCAGCCTCCCTGGGCAGGTGACTGTGACACCCCAGATGCACGCCAAGGAACGGTGACCCTGAGCAATCCTGCCAAGAACCCCACTCCACGGATCTCCTGAAGGCCCTAGGGAGTCCATCACGGGTCACCACGGAACCCGCATTCGTTAGGACTCTGGCACGGCAACCTGCCACCTCCCTCCCTCAGACGAGCTGCACTGAAACGGGACAGTGCTGAAGGACACAGCTGAGAAGTCCTCAGTCCACTGCCACAGACCACCCAGAAAGGTAATGGTGACAGCTACCACCCGCAGAGCAGCCCCAGGCCGTCACACACTGTCATTTCATCCCCTGGGGACGCTGCGCCTGCTGGCATAAGGACTCCTCCCACACCCACACCACTGTGGCAGGGCGCGTGGACTAGTTATTATCCCAGGTCTGCCTCGTCACAGCCACAGACAGCCAAGAGGCCAAAGGTGGGAGAGAGGGGACGGACAGCGCACACAGCCAGCCGCCCTCAGGAGACCCGAGCTCTTCCCCGCGGGCTGGCTACGATCCTAACGGGCTCGGCTGCTGCCTCTCCAGGACATTAAGGCGCGAAACACGCAGGTTGAGACCTCAGCTGTCCGAGAGCGGAACAGAGCGGCTGGCACGGCAGCCCACTCCYGCAGGAGGGCCTGCCTACTGTCCCCGCAGGCTGCCCAAGAGGGCGACGAGAACAGACGGCTGTTGGACGGTCCAAACACGGACAGGTCAGGGCCCTGGAAAACTCCACCCTCACAGAGTAGGCAGCCCGGGCCCAGCTCAGGAGCGAGGGGACAGGACGCGAGGGGCTGGCCAGTGCAAGAAGGCCGCCACAGCAGGGCCAGTGAGCCTGCTTCGCCTCCACGGGTGGAGCTGCTACTGGGGACCAGCCCGAGCCCCTGGCAGACGGGGGAGATGGACGCGTTTCCCTGCCTGCCAGGCTGCAGGCCGCCCCTGCGCCCGGGGCCTCCACCTACCTCCTTGATCACCTCCTCCATCTCCAAGCGGCCACACTCCAGGTCCACAGCGTCGTTCACACAGCTGGGAGCTGCCACGCCCAGCTTGCCTGCGGGACACCAGACACCAGACCCCGTGAGGTGCCAGGCGGCAGTGCCAGCCTCTCGCTGTCACTTTTCCAGTGAAGCCTAAGGAAGTCAGACCCACGGTCCCCGCTGGCTTCAAGGTCTGGGAAAGGTGCAGGCTCAGCATGTCCTCAGGGAGAAGCTGGCAGGGGGCCATGGACGGACAGGGCCCTTTGCCCTCCTCCTTCCACTGCTAGATCCAAAATGAGCCCCAGACACACTACACCAGGGCCAGACCTCCTGGCCGCGGGCTTCACTGACCAGCTGGGGCATGAGGAAAGCCTCGATTTCCTGGCAAAACCTGCAGATGGCAGGAAATCTCCTCAGGCCTTCCCACCGCACAGGCCACCGCACACGCCCACCCCAAGACCCAGYGGCACCGCTGGACCAGCCTCACTCCTCGAGAGCCTGCAGTACCCAGCATTTCCAGTGAGTGCCAGAGACCAGCCTCGGGGCCTCCATCTCAGGACCCCTCCCCAGTCAGAATCACCTCGAGTCCACAGGTGAGGGACAACCACAGCCAACACTGCCGGCCGGCCGCACTCCCACCGCCGTTTCCTCCCTACTCAACAGACTCACTTAGGAGCTGCTGGTGGGAGGGGCAGGGGGCCCAGTGCAGCCTGCACATCCCTGAGGTGCAGCAGTGGGTCCCTTCACCTATGCCATCACAGCGACTCTGTCCCCAGTTCTCCTCCAACATCCACACTTGCAAGCAACCCACCCGCCACCCGACCCCGTGCTGTGAACAGGCCAGGYACCTGCCTGCTCATGCATGGCCTGGGGAGGAGAGGCAAGAGAGACTTCCCTCTTGCTTTGAATCCCATGAGATTCTACAGTGATGAAAAATTATCCAAAGCAGGGAAATAAGGCAGAACCAAGACCAGGTGGCCCTTCCAGTCCCCAGCCCCAGCTAGCCCTGGGGGTCCTCAGATGCTCCAGGGAGGCCACAGCATTGGACCTGCCACCCTCAGGGATCAGAGCTGGGCTCAGGAGACTGGTGCTCAGCTGCAGGAGATTAGGCACAGGGGACCTGAAGGAAAGCTGACCCAGGCCGCAGAGTCCGACTCTCAGGCCTCCACCCAGGCTCGGCTCCCCAGCCGCCTCTGAGCCAGCACCCAGAACAAACCGCAGCTCCAGCTCCAGCTCCAGGGACGTCCCAACACAGCGCCCTCCCTCCTTAATGAGTTCAGACAGAGTTTCTATCAAGTCAGATTTCAACTCTTTCTTAAAATCATCCCACAGTGGGATAAAACTGATGCTTTCCAGGGCTCCAGGCATTACTGGGCTGCCAAAAAACTTTGAAGAACATCGAGTCCGGAGTGCTACCTGGAGTGGCCAAGAAAAATCGATGTGGGAAAAGAAGGCTTTCGACCAGTGATGGTGACTGGGTGGACCCACAGGGCACAGCGCTGCTGCGGAGGCTCTGCAGGCGGGGGAGCGGCTGGGGAGCGGCTGCCAGGGAGCAGCCCACAGAGCTCAGGAGGAGGCCCGGGGACTGGGGCAGTGTCCTTGCTGCGCTTTAGCCCTTAGAAAATGCTCTCGGGATTCTGTAGCTGGAAGAGACCTCAGGCGTTATTCCATCCCTGAGTTCCCACTGAGGAAGCCAGCCGGCCACACTCTGAAACTTCCAGAACCTTCCTCCCAAMCCTCACGACCCATCCCTTCCTGTCCACCAGATCTGCCCCTTGCCCTTCCTCAAGTTGCTAGAAAATAAAAGGGGCCCCCCACAGGGCCAGGTTCCGCCAGGGCTCCCGGGCCATGGTCGAGGCCACCAGCCCATCTCCTCTGCCACCCCACCCCCAGGCTCCTCCCTGGAAGCTGCCACTTGACAGCAAGGACGCAGGACGTCAGCAGGGAGTTCAGCATCTACTTGTACAAAGGAGAGAACCACTTCATGTAACTGAAACCATGCGCCCAGCCCAAGCCCCAGGCCACGCTGCAGACAGGGCACCAGGTAGGCAGGGCCCGGAGGCTGGAGACCCACAGCTGATAGTTACATTTTTGCTCTTCCTCTGGGACAATTCGGTAGACTTTGTATGGCTCAGAAATGTCCAGCTGGGAGCGGTCTGTCACTTCCTCAAAATCTGGGCTCTTGTTCAAAGCACAGCGTAACCTTGTCTTCCAAGTGGCTGGTTCAGCTTTGTCCCCTTCCTTAAACTTCCCTTTAAAAACCGCCCAGGCCTGAAGAAAGAAACAGAGACACGTTGAACACAGGGGGGTCCACCAACCGCGACCTCCCTCACCACGCCGGGGCCGGAACACCCCCAAGGACTTCTTGCTGGATCAGTGCTCACCCAACGTCAGCACCCAGAGACCACAGCAGCCCCTCGCTCACTCGCCCGGGTGTGAAGAGACCCAGGCAGTGGATCCCCTGGATCACCAGGCTGAGCCAGAACTCGAACCCGGGTGCAGGCTCATCACGCACACCCGGGACAAGCCTTTGGCAAAGTCCCTTCCCTGGACTAAAGGGCCTGGCCAGTGGCTCAAAGAGGAAGTTGCACATGGTTTCATGAGAATGTTAAAAACAAAGACTTTTTTTGTATTTTCAAATGAACCCCTATCTAAAACTTAGCAGAAAAGGGAACATTTGCAAAGTCTAAATGTGGCCACCACTGCCCTGTTCCTTTTAATAGAAACTTTGTTTTGCATTTTTACATGATTCTGCGCCACCCCCCACTGTTGAAATGCAATGAAATGTTTTCCTCCTGTCGACTGGTTGCCTTTTCTCTCTCTTTCTTATTCCTGTTTTCTGACCTCTCCAAACTCAGGATCTAAAACCAGGATCAGAAACTCAAAGCTGGATACTGCAAGTCAAAGCACAGAGTGGAGCGGCATTTAAAAAATAAGACACRCCCAGTGCAGTGGCGCAGGCTGTGACCCCAGTGACACAGGAGGCCGAAGCCCTGTCCCAGAGTTATAAAGGAAAAGGGCCAGGCTGCAGCACAGTAGTGGAGCCTCCTGGGGTGCAATCCCCAGCTCGGCAAAAACACACAAACACAGCTTGCGAATGAGCGTAGGTCCCCGTTCCGAGTGAGAAGACAGGCCACTGGTCAGAGGGAGCCACTGCAGTGAAGTGACCTCAGGCTCTAACAGAGTCGGTGTGCTCTGACCTTAAAGAAGAAACATGGGAGAAGCCGTCCCTCCCATTTGGGAAAATGCGATTCCAAGAGGAAAGTCACCTCCCCAGGGTACCCCAGTCTAAGACTGGGTGACGGATCTACTGACTCGGACACAGGGCTCTCCCTGGATGTCTGGGAAATGCAGGTTCCTCGGCTCTGCCACTCAAGAGTCACCTGCAGCAGGTCTGGGCTCTGCATCCTCAGCCACCAGCCAGGTGGGGGGCACACTTCCAGAGTCCCAGGGAGCCCATGAGTCACAGCTCCTTCAAAAGAGCCCAACCCTCTGGAAAGAGAAGAGGGTTGACAATCCAAGGTCAACGCTCGACTCTGTTAATGCCAAAAGAAACTGGAAGAACATTCCTGCAGTGAGCACAAGTGGCCGCTTCCTCTCTGGCAGACACACTCCCCTTCGAAATCGTTGCAAAAGTCAGCAGCCTCGGCTCCCGCCTTCCCTCTGCGCTGCTGACCACGCATTGACTCCTGTGGTTGCTCCAAGACATGGAAGGGCAGACCAGGTGCTAGCTGCACGGTTAGTTTTGCTCTTGACATCAGGGTGTGCCTGCCTGGCACCACAGGCGTTGGTCATGCTCTGGGGGCCGCCCGAGCACTGCCGGACACAGTAGCACCCCTCCCCTGTCGGCAGGCATGGCCAAATGTCCCTTGGGGACTGGCCCCCACTCTGAGAACCACCAGTCGACCCACATTCCAGCTGGCCTTGGATGAGACACGTGGACTCCCTGGTGATGGGCAGCCACCGGCAGGCACTGGAGCACAGCACCCCCAGGCAGTGTCTTGCTCAGTCCCCGTCTGGGCTCGCCCAGGGTATGCCATCCATCAACACAGGCCCATGGTCAGCCCACGGTCAGGAAGTGTCCTGGGCTGCAGCCAGCCCTGGGCCTGACCCACAGCAGGCAGCTGGCCTCTTGGGACCCCTCTGGCCAGCTCTAAAATACCAACTTTGCTGGGTACTCTCAAGACCTCCCAGAGCTAAGGCCAGGCAAAAGGCTAAGGCCAGGCCCAAGCCCAGGAGCCCCTCAGCCTGCCCCCATGGTACACGGCTGTGACTCTGGCACCAGTGTGAAGTCCTCCTCTTCTGCCACTACTGTCTCCTGGTCTCAGCAACAAACTCCTGTATTTCCCTTGAAGGCCTCCAGAATCTGAAGCACCTGCAGCATGGTGTGTGATAATTGATAAGGCGGTGACAACACCTGCTCCTGGTCACCTGCTCCGCGGGAGCCCTGTGGGCCACGCCCTCACCTGACTAGATGGTTTTGAAAATGAAAGCACCTTTTAAAAGTAAACTGACTTGATGGGATCCTGGTGTACGCAGGGTTGGCACAGCACCTGCTGCATGACTGACRGCCCACCTGAGGCCCCACCTGAGGCGGGCACAGGAAGCCAGTGTCAGCTGCTGCCCTCGGGCAAGGTGAGTCCTCCGTGACTTCTCACAGTCCTCTCACCGAGCCAGGAAAGCAAACAAACATTTTTTTCCTTAACTCCTAAGTTTTGGGAAGGTTTTCTTGAAATGAGAGAAACAGGTTCTCTGCTGAACAGAAAAGCCCAGGACAGCTCTGCAGAGCGGGTCTCTCTGCTGACCTCTCCCATCAGTAAGCTCCCTGTGGTCACTGCTGCAGGAGACTGGCTCCCAGGGGACACTGGACAGCAAGCACCTCCACAAAGCCCAGCTCGTCGGGGCTCTGGGCTCTGGGTGACCCCTCCCACAGCCTCCGTGCTCGGGTGGGCACCCGTGTCCCAGCCTGCCTCATTCCTGCTGAGATTGTAGACTCATTTCAGATTGCCACATCAAGCAACTGCGTAACCAACGGAAACCCTGGGAATCTTGCACACTCTTAACGCTGTTGAAACGGCCGAGGAGAACATTGCATAAGTATAAATCTGGGCTTTATTCATCACTCGTGGGGCACAGGCGGTAGAGGGAGCAGGCTGAGGAGAAGCCTGCATCCCATCAGCAAGCCCCGGCACCCTGCTCTGCAGCCTCTGCTGCGCTTCTGCCCTCGGCAAGCCTCCGCCTTGCCCCCCACATGCCCCTGGTCTCGGGTCTGCTTCCAGCCTCTGCCACTCAGCCTTCCCAGCCCTCCCCCCCACCTCCTATGCCATCGGGAGGCCAACAGCAGTGGCCTCCAGTTAAACATTGATCCTGACCATGGTGGCCGAAAAYAGGGTTCTTGGTGAGCAGGAGGAGACTGCGGCCTCAGGATGTTGGGGCTGCAACAGGCACCTAGCAGGGACAGGCCAGGAATGCCACGAGTGTACTGCAAGGAGCAGGGCAGCCCTCACCACAAAGTGTCAGGTCAAGTGCGCTGGGGACTGTGGCTGCCAGGCCCCTGAACTCCCAACCAGCCCACTGGCACTCGGGTCCTGTTCAGAGTGGGCACAGTCATTCCCAAGCGAACTTCACCATGATGCCAAAGGCCAAAGGCACCTAAGATCAAAGGGAGAGAAACCTCCCCACGCGGAGGGCAAAGAAAGCAGGGCTGGCCCTGCAAACCCCAGGGTGTCYAGACTTCCTGACCACGTCCTAGACCAGAAGGGATCGAGGGACACGTGGGCAACAGGAGACTCCCGAGGGCCAGCAGAAAACGTTCCCAGGGGCTCGCTTCCCCTGAAGTGTCAGTAACTGGCATCCCCAAGACACCCACCACCTCTGCAAACACAGCCAGGCCACACCTGTGGGGCTGAAATGCACCTTCGGCCAGCACTGACCTCGGCACGCTCCACTCTGGGTCAAGTGGGAGCCTTGGTCATTTTTATTAATGTGTGTCAGAAAAGAGTCACTTCTGGCTGAGAGTCCAGCAACACGATGGGTCCTGAAGGCCTTGCCCCCCACATGCCCCTGGTCTCYGGTCTGCTTCCATCCTCCGTCACTCAGCCCTCCCAGCTCCCCCCACCTCCTATGCCATCGGGAGGCCAACAGCAGTGGCCTGCAACCTGGGCTCGGAGCAGACCCCTGTGGTACACTGTGCACAAGGCCGCAGTCAGGGCTGACCCTGGCCTCAGGCCCCAGACCTCCCGGGGTGGAACCTGGACACCTGGAGCCTTAGAGATGCCCACAGGTGACTGTGACAACCCTAAGGGAACCCTGATGACCTCGGTGGCCTGCCAGTTCCTTCCTCTGTCTGAATCTAAGTGTAACGGCAAGGAACTGCTCCTCTTCCCAGTGGTGTGAGGGGTCCAAGACTCCACCACGCAGGAGCTGTGAGACTGCCAAGCCACTCTCGGTGCAGCTGCAGAACGAGGGTGGACAGGACAGCAGCCTCGCACCTGGGCCAGGCCGGAGCAGAAGGGCTCTCCATGGACGCCGKACGGCCAGCGTGCTACCAGTAGCAGTGCTAGAGGACGCGGGGCTGCTCACGCTCCAGGGAGAGACTGCGTCCAGACATCTGCGGCAAGTTCAGGACACCCCTCACACCCGGCCCCAAGTCAGGGCGGATGGCATCCCCCCTTAGCTGGCCCTACAGCACCAAGCAGAAGACCGGCTTCGAAAGAACCAAGACTGAAACCTCCCGTCCACCACGCCATCCTAGTGGCAGCACAGGGGAAAATATCTTGGTGGGAGAGGAGAGAGGGACAGAAAGCACCCATCCCCTCATGGGAAAAGTGCCAGTGACACCACTGACCCCAGATGACTTAACAGTGTAAAGTCACCTGACGTCTGTTGTTAAAGCCCTGGATTAGATTTTTAGCAAATCAGAAAGGCATCCCTGGACATCTCCAGAGTGACAGGGAAGACGCTCCCAGCTCCCTGMGCGGGGTTTTTACCTTGAAGATGGAGGCGTCCACCTCCTGGTTATAGTCCTGCTTGCCGGCATGCTTCCATGGGATCCGGAACATGTTCTTCTCGTCATTTTCCCAGATCAGTCCTGGATACATGCTGCTGTCGATTTGCTCGATCAGCCACTGTCGCAGTCGCCGGCCACCATTCCTGTCACACATCCTTGGAAATAAAAAAATAAAACATCCTATATCTAATGTCACTTCATTAGTCAGAGCAACCGCAACAAGAGGTTCAGGACAAAGGTGCCTCCCGCCAGAAGACCCAGTGGAATCCAGAGGAAAACTGAAAGCCCCGAGGCGGCAGCTGCCAGATGTGCGCCCACCTRCACCTCTCCCGACCTCAGACAAATGCCACCACAGGGAACAGGAGCACTTCAGCCCCCAGCTGGGAAGTCCACTTGCCCAGGTRCAGCACCCTCCATGAGCCCTCATCACTCTAAGACCCAGCCACTGCCCGATGCCCAGGGGACAAGTGTTCCCCAGAGGACAGCCCAGCACTCCTGCTGCTGGGAAAAGAGGAAACCCTCCAGGCTCGGCCCTCCAGGGTCCTTTGCCTCACCCGAGTTTGAGATAAGACAGAGCTGGGGTCTGATTCCCCCTGAGTGACCAAAGCATCACCTAACCTGGAGTCTTGGGGGTAGGGGTTCTTGGCACTGCAGTGACACATATGAAGCCCCTGGGGCAGGGCCCCCCTCAGAGAGCCTCTCAATAACAGATGGGCTACCTTCCTCCCCAGGTGCCTCGCCTAAAGGCACTGTGACCTGGGSAGCTAATTGCAGGACACCAGAGGCATCCTTAGACACTCCTGCCAGAGTTATGAGATGGCTTCCCCAGCGGGACAAGAAAGAGAACACCATGCCCCTAGCAACTCATGCAACATTTACCAGAAAGGTGCTGGAAATCCCCTAGGCAGCTGGACAGGCGCCCACCCCCAAAAACAAAAACAGCATTTCTATTCTTCCGATTAAAATGTGACCTCTGTGGGCAACAAGTTTGAAGCAATCAGCAGTGAAAAGACATAACATCCCCAGGAACACGGTCATACCCAGAACCGTGCTGGTCCATAAAGCAAAACCAAGGCCAACCACCTTTGCAAGAAGTATGCATTTTGGAAACCCCAGCACCCTGCAGGTGGCTCTGGGGCAGGAAGAGGGGGCAGGTCCCAGGGGGAGGGAGGTGAGATCTCTCAAATGCCAATTTTAGCTTTTCCATCCAATAACCCCAGCCACCCACTTGTGGGGAGAAGATATGAATCAGAAACTGGACTCTGATTTGGAAACCTGACCTAGAAAGCTCTTCTCCAATCACCTGCATCTCCATGAGACCCCTTCACCTGAAAAGTGAGGGACTAACCCCAGGCACAGTGGCAGAGCCCTAAGGCCACGGTGTTGATAAATAAGAAGGAGTACCTAGGGTACCTAGGGAGAGAAATGAAACCCACCCTGAAAACCAAGTAGGCTGCTCATTCTGGGAGCAGGGAAGAGGCCCCCAGCTGGAGGAATGGACTGCGTGGAGGAACATGGGGGTCAGGACATAAGGGAGGAGTCCGGCTCTGAGAATATGTCAATTAAAGGAGACATTTCCGCTTGCACCCTCTGAGTAGCCTGAAATCGGGAAGCAAATTCTGTGGGTATGGGCCTTTTTCTAGAAAGAGGGTCAACACTTTTTCATCAGGATTTCTAAGGGATGCACTCCACCCCCCCCCCCAACAACAAAAAAAAAAGTGTTAGAGGACAGCTGTCTAGGTGATTATAGAAAACAAGGGAGAAGTGGCATTGGGAGGAAAAGTGAATCACAGATTATGAAAGCTGGGAAATACTTCAGAAACCATCCAATCCAGCCCCTCTTCACTCAGGAGGAAAGACAGAGGCTGAGAGGGAAGCAGTCACCCCAGCACCCAGCAGACAGGCGCCCAGCAGACGGCCAGAACTGGCCTCAGCCCCCAAAGYGGCTCTGCTCACTCTGCGGAGAAAAGCCAGTCAAGCTAGACACCCCCGCAGGTGGACAGTCCCTTCTAGAAAATCAGGCGATTTCCCTGCAATCGCCTGAGACTCTGGCGGCATTAAGGACCTAGGAGGCTATTGCAATTGCCACCGGAATGATTTCGTGAACACTAGCAAGTGAATTCCACCAAACACCCAGGCAGGAAAAATAATGAGCCAGTCACATGCTTATAACTTCCTCCTCCGGGAGGAGAGGTGACAATTCCCCACGGCAGGTCCCACCGGGAGCCACCCGCATCCCTGCGCAGCGCGCTGGGCCAGGCTTCCAGGCCCACCCGCTGGACGCCGGGGCAGGACCAGGTCCCCTCTAGGGACCCCAGGCGCGACTCTGGCCGCCGGATACCCTCGTCCGGGAGACGAAACCGCACCAGGCCACTTCTCTCTCTGGCCCCAAGCTTTCTCAAGTGACCACTCAATCACTCCCGACCTTGTCACGAAGGAACCTGCCGTGCCCCAAACGGCAAAAGTGGGACCCATTTTACTAGCTCTTACCTTTGATTTAAAAAAAAAAAAGTAGGGGCCAGAGGTTGGGAGGTTTGGGGACAACTTAGAACTCGCCTGCCAAGCCCGTCCTGCGCCCTGGGGCTCATCCGCACGGAAACGTCCGTGCGATGCGGACGCGGGCGGCGGACACGGGCGGCGGGCACCGCGCGCACGGAGCCCGCACTCCACGCAGCCCGCCCGCCCGCAGGGCCGCACGGGACCCCGCCGCCTGCCCCCGCGGCCCCGCGCGCCGACCCCAGGGAGGGCGAGGTCCGCGCCAGCGCCCGCGTCCCGGGCAGCACGCGCGCCGGCGGCCGAGGGACGGCGCCTACCTGCCGCGCCGCGCCGCGCCGCGCCGCGCGTTCCCACGCTCCCGCGCTCGACCTGCCGCGGCTCCGGGCGCCGCGCGGCGGCTTTAAGGGCGGGGCGGGCTCGGGGCGCGGAACGACGTCCGCGGCGGCCAATGGCGGGCGGCAGGGGCGTGGCGCCCCCCCATCGGCGCGGCCCGCCTTCTTCGAAGCGCTCGGCTTTCCGAGAAATCACTTCGCGGCGGGCTCGGCCTCGTCGCGCGGGGTCCCGGCCCTTCCCGCGGCCGCGCCGAGCCCCTCTCCTCGCAGGCCGGGGGCGGCGCGGGAGGGGGCTTCCCGCCGGAATCCCCGAGGGGAGGCGGCCGGCCGGCCAAGGTCACGGGGCCCAGCGCGGAGGTCCGGCCGGCCCAGCTCCTGCCCCGGCGCCCCGCGCGTCCCGCCGTGGGCACCGCCACCCGCCAGGCTCGGCCGCACGGGGAGCCCTCCGCAGGCCGCTGGCCCACGAGGGTCGCGCCGCAGAAGCGCCTCGGGCACCGCGGTGCAGCCGGTGGCCCGCCCCGGAGCTTCCGGGGACCGCCGCCCCCCGGGAGCCACGGGCTGGGCGAAGGGAGCCACGGGCTGGGCGAAGGGAGCCACGGGCTGGCCTCGGCGCCCAGCGCCCTGGGTGTGAGCTGGCATTTACTGTAAACGCGGGGTGGAGGGAGCAGCACCCAAGGACAGGGGAAAGGAGCGTTTTCCGTGTTCCCTTCGGGAACGGCTTTAAATGAGGGTCGTAATCGGCTTTTATTGCCAGTTGGCCAAACACCAGCAGTAACGAGTACAGGGTCATCTTGGGCATCTGGCTTCTCAGTGATCTGAAAAAAAAAAAAAAACAAAAAAAACAAAACAGTCGCCCCACAGTACAAAAACTACACTGCGAATTTCAAATAAAGGTTCCCAAAACATAACGTGCCAACTTCATAATTGTCACTGGTGGCTTGAATAACATTTCATTAGATTTGAAAACTTTTCGTAAATGAGACATTGCTTGGTACGAATTTCCTGATGCCCTGATTCTCAGGAAGCCATACAAAGTAAATGAGTTCCCTGACACCAAATAAAACTTCAAGTGAAAACTTTTCTAAACTCAAATTCTTGAAGAGTATGTAGCCGCCGGGAAACGTTTTACCCTGCTTGCCACAGAAGGGAAGGAGCTTGCAGAGTCAGGCCCGAGGATCAGAAGTCCTTTAAGCAGCCCCAGTGTGAGAGGAYACCCAGCTCTCTTCACAGGCGAGCTCGGTAAGCCTTGGTGGGGTTTCTTAGTACAAATGCTGTCCCCGCACAAAGGGATGTGCTGCATTTCCATCAGCGCTGCGCGTGGCTAAAGGTGGGTGAAAGCTGAAGGAGTCAGCCGCAGGTTCAGCATCTGGCTGGCAGCAGGTGTCACTGTAGACCCTGTAGGCCTCCAGACCTGCCAGGCATTCCCTGCAGTGGCACCTGCTGCCTAGGGACAACTCCCAATCTGCTCTTGTTTAACGGGCACYGAGGTAACTACTGTGTGCTGGATATGGGGCAACAACAGATCCCAAGGGAATAGCATGTCTGAGGGCCCCCAGCAGCACCCCACCATCAGGCAGACTCCTCTGCGTCTCGGCGGCAGCCGAGGCCTCCTGCTCATCACAGTCCTGCTTATTCCATTCCCCAGCCTACGTGCTTCTGTCTTGCAGGTCTTCCCAGGGGCTGTCATACAAGAGCCAGCCTGGCATCTAAGAATGTCCTCCCCAGTGTCACAGTCCAGCAAGAGCCCACAGCAGCCAGTCCTGCAAGCGGCAGGGTTCTAGCTGGATCCCAGCCTCCTGGCTCAGCTTGAGCTCCTCTGCATAACAGCACTGATGACAATGTTGGGTGGAACTGTGTGGAACTGCCAATACCCGGCTGTCCAGAAAGGGCACTATGTATGACAACCTAATTGTGCCTGTGTCTTAGGACTAGGAGACCATGTCCTTCCCCTGCCCGTGAGGGCAAGAGGGAAAAGTCTCACWCTGGCCAGTGTTGAGGCTGACAAGTCTGGAAAATACGGACTGGTGGTGACTCTCACCTTCACCTTGGGCTGCTAGTTGCAGATCAGTACTTACTTGCCTCCGGGGGAGATGGGAAGGGCCCTCCCACCTAGCCTGCTCCCTGCCTGCCCCAGGGCTCCTGACCTCACTCCTCCCTCTCAGTCTCCGGGCCTCACCTCCTGTGGGCTCCCTCTCTCACCCTGTCCACCCTCCTGGACTCCTGTCTTCATCTCCCTCCCTCCCCCCATGTCTTGCTACTTCTGCTGGACTTTGGACCAATTGTCAATCTTCCTGTTCTGCCCAGTTTCTTCCAGTGGCAGTGGAGTCAATAGGGAGGTGACAAAGGGCACCTTCAACAGCCGGCCTCSGGAACAGGTCCCTCCAGGACGCTCCAACTCTTGACAGAGCCAGGTATGGGCTGATTGTGGCCCCAGAATGCATATGTTGCAGCCCTGCCCCCCACAGTGAGGGTGTTAGGGTGCCTTTGGGAGGCAGCTGGGTGTAGATGGGGAGAACCCCTCAAGAAGCACAGGCTTGCTCTCACTCTCTTCAGCAAGGACTCCTGGCAGGGGCAGCCATCTGCAAGGCAGGCAGCCCTCTAGCACCCAGGTCAATGATTCCCAGCCTCCAGAACTTGAGAAGCGTTGGGGGGCTAGGGCTGGGGCTCAGCGGTAGCGCACTCGCCTGGCATGTGTGACGCATAAATAAAATAAAGGTCCATCAACAACCAAAAAGAAAAAATAATTTTAAAAAAATATGCATTGATTCTTCAGACCATGCTGCTGAGCGCCAGGGAGACCAGGGGAAGCAGCATGGCTCCTTCACAGCCGCCACCTGAGGACTCCTCACGYCTTCCTCTGCTCCCCTTGATGCTTTTCCAATCCCAGAAGCAGGGTGCCTTACTGGAGAGGGGAGGGAGGGTGGTGGGATCCCACCCGGTCCCACCTGCAGCAGACTGCTCACATGGTGCCTGGCAGGAAGTAGCAGCTCAGAGGACTCTGACTCTTCCTGCCTCCCCCCTCACAGGGGCCGACTCCACCTGGAGCCAAAGTGCATGAGATTCACACCTGTGGGCTTACAGAGGAAACAGCAGGACAGTCCCTCGGCCACCGAGAGGGGGAGGGCAGGGGCCTGGTAAGGGTGGCTTGAGGGCTGTGCCCCTTGGTCCCACCTTCCAAGCCCCAGATTAACTTGGGGCTTCAGGAGAGATCTGGACTTACTGTGCTGACGAGCGCATTTCCACCCACCTGCCGCTGGGAGGGCGGGCCTTGACTCCCGCCTGGACGCCTACAGGGTACCTGTGGCAAGGACCCAAGAGGCCACCGCTAGAGCTCGCAGAGCAGGGTTGGCCACTCAAGAGCCAGTATGGGGTCCCATGAGGGCCTCCTGGGGGACAAAGGGACTGGGAGAGAGGCCGAAGGGTGTGTCCCCGGTGTCTRGGCTGAGGCACAGCACCATGTGGAAGTAGATAAATCCGTTGGACTTAAGAGAGAGGGACCCAGTAGGGACCTCAGAGGAGATCACAAAATGTCACCCCCTCCCAGCCTGCACAAACCCCAGCCTGCACAAACCTACTCCCAGAGAGCACAAACCCAGAAGCCAGTGAGAACCGCCAGAGGCTAAGGCAGGAGAATCGCAAGTTCAAAGCCAGCCTCAGCACTTTAGTGAGGTGAAGAGACCACTGTTACACTAAGCAATGTAGCAAGACCCTCCCTGTCTCCATTTTATGTTTTAAGGGRTAGGGGTGGCTCAGTGACAAAGCACCCCTGGATTCAATTCCCTACGAAGAAAAAGAGAAAAAAATGCCCCACCACCTTGTCCCTTCATTTCTGCAGCACAGGAGTGCGTGGGAGTCAGGAGACGTGTTCAGTGGGTTCTGGCCATCACTGTCCTGTCTAGGAACCCAACGGGTGCTCTT